CTCGGCGATCTTGTAGGAGACCCCTCCATCACAGAACTCTGGGAATTCAACTACCTCCACGACATCCCCTTCCTCATAAGCCACATCGACGAGAGTTCCCGAACGTCCATCAGTGTACACGTCGTCCACGGCTTCTGGAAGGCGGACGACCGCCGACGTACGGAGCTCGAGAGGGATGCAGGCCGCCACCCGAATGTGCTCCTCCACACGGCCCACATGCCGGAGATGTTCGGCACGCACCACTGCAAGATGATGATACTGTTCCGGCGCAACCGCTCCGCCCAGATCATCATCCACACAGCTAACATGACACCCAAAGACTGGAATATGATGACGAACGGCGTGTGGGCGTCGCCGCTGCTGGCATGTTTGCCGAACGGCACCGACCCTCGCCTGGACACGCCTGGGCAAATCGGAACCGGCTCCCGCTTCAAGCACGATATGTTGGCGTACCTGAAGGCGTACGAAAGGCGGGGGGGGGGGGGGGGGGGGGGGCGGCGTTCAAGCACCTAGTCGACCGGCTACTCCAATTCGACTTCAGCCTCGTCCGAGCAGCATTCGTCGCAAGCGTGCCGGGACGACACCGATTCGACGAGTCGGTGCCTTCCATGCACCGCTGGGGATGGCCCGGTCTGCGGCGGGCGCTCCAGGCCGTACCAACGAGCAGCGATACGTCAGACGGGTCGGCGGAAATTGTCATGCAGGTGTCCACAATCTCGACCCTCGGCCCGAAAGACAACTGGCTGCGCAGCTGCCTGCTCGACACCCTCGTCCAGAGCAGTAGCCCGGCCGCCCGAGCGCCCAGGTTCAGACTTGTGTTCCCCACGGTCGAAAACATCAGGCGCTGCGTGGGAGGATACTCATCCGGCGGCCTCATTGTCACAAAGACCCAGTCCAAACAGCAGGCAAAGCAGTTGGACTACCTCCGGCCGATGCTGTGCCGGTGGGCCAGCGACAGCCGCGTCGATACGGCCAAGGACAGCGGACGCGGTCCCGCCGCACCTCACATCAAGACCTACGTCCGCTTCTCGGGCTCAACTCTTGACTGGGCGCTGCTCACTTCCGCCAACCTTTCGAGGCAGGCATGGGGTGAGAGGCCCGGCAAATCCGAACACGTCCGAATCGCCTCCTGGGAGGTCGGCGTCCTCGTCTGGCCGGGAATACTCTGTGGTGACCAGCGCTCCAAGATGGTCGCCGCCTTCATGTCCGACACGCCGCGCCCCACACAAGCTGCTGCTGTCCCGGACGCAGTGGCCGGCCGAGGCGGCGTGCCCTTCATCGGTCTGCGATTGCCCTACAGCCTGCCTCTCCAGCCGTACGGGGCTGACGAGCAACCGTGGGTCTTAAGCCTGCCGCACAAGGAGCCCGACGGGGAAGGGAGGACGTGGTGCTCCAGACCCGGAGTCTAAGTAGTTAACACCGCGATGAGACCCCTATCATCCAGCCAGTCCAGAATTACCAAGTCTATCATCATCACCCGCTCTATTTACTTGCTAGGGCTCAGGGGTTTCGGAAGAGGTAAACGCAAACGGGTGCGAGTGAGACGACGGTGTTACAGCGCGTTGTCCCCTGCATACTTAAGGCCCGGGGTACCTTTCAGGTTACCTACCTTACCTACATACAGTCGACGCTCCACTGAAATCGGCAGGCGCCCTGAAGACGCCATATCCACCCGGACGGAAACAACAAGATTCCCATTCTTGCCGCATGTACAAACGTCAAACACAGGGAACGGCCCATCGCTTCCGCCTTCAAGCCATCACCCAACAAAACAGCCTTAAGTTCACGGGTACTACTAGCAAGGTCTGAGTGACTGACAGATGGATGACCAATTATTCATCTCGCAGCCCGATTTTGCACGGGTGGACGGAGATGCCAGCCCCAACGGTCGCGCGGAGGGCGACATCCGAGACGGGATACCATCGAGGCCGAGCCAGGCTCCCGGTCGTGAATGGCACATGTTGCTGCCCGCACCCACACCGTCCGGGTCAGTGCTTTCACGGCCGATAGCGCCGGAGCCTCATGTCCTCGTGCGCCGAGTGTATCCGGGCCTCGCGTGTAACCGCTTCGGTAGGATCCAACCCCATCAGCTGGACCAGCGTGACCAGAGCACTGCCCAGGACTTCCTGTCGGGCCGCCGGCGCGATGTTGCTCAACACGCCATCGACCTGCGCTCTCTGCCGTATCATCTCTGCCTGGCTGAACCTGAGACCAGACGGAACAGGCCGCTGGCAAAAGGCCCATAACCCTCGGGCGGCGCGGGACTCCTCTGCCTGATCCGTTGTTGAGGCCGACGCGGGTGCCTCACTGTGTTCAACCCTTGCTGGGCCAGCCCCGGCGTCGTTGTCGTCAGGTGCTTCGACCTGCGTCCGCTTGCGCTTCCGAGGGGACGGGGAACGACAACCTCGATCTGTCGATGCCACGGCATGTCTACTGACGTGGGAACCTAAAGCTTGGGACTCTTGATGTCGCTGGTCTTGAATCGGCCGAGGATGGTTGTCCTCAAGCGGACGACATTTTGGGGGTTGTGGGGACTGCGCGCCGGGCCGCATCTCTTTGTTGTCCGCGCGGGGCACTGGGTGATGGGTACAGCAGGAGATGTTGCAGCAAGGATGGTATTACTTGCTGGGACCCGCCGAACCGGTTTTTTTCGCTTGGCGACAGGCTTGATGCGGGCTCATAACACGGCTAGGTGATGTGATATCGTTCCCTCCGCAATCACTCCCTCGCTGGGTGAACCACCAGTATAAATACCAGGGCGCATCCGCATCCGCTATCCCTGAATACCCTGTCGGCCTGGGCGTTCGATGTATTTACTTCTAACTTCCGATGTATCGCCCCGGAAGCGCCGCCGAGGCTGAATCCAGACGTCACCTTGTGCCCACGTATCGCCTCTGCAGAGTACCCGGCTGTCCATAGCACGCCAGAGAGTGGCTAAAGGTAGGCAGGTAGTCACACTCAGATGTGACTTCGTGAAACGTCATAGTATTAAACTCTTTGATGCCCCATGGAAGTTGCCGGACATTCCGGCGGAGGGTGGCTCGCCGTATCCAAGAACGGCGTTCTGCTCTCCGACTCCGTAGGCGCAATCGACGGAGCGGTGAAGCTCTGCTCGGCGCCCTGCTGCACGCCATTTTACCTACAAGATGCGGCGGTGCATCTCGCGAGTGTGGCCCACCAAGAGCACTGTGAAGCCGTGAGAATATGTCCACGCCGATATTTACACTCAAGGCGCCCAAACGACGAAAACTGCTTCGAAGATCAAGAGGATCAAGAGGATCGGAAACAATAGGGCGTGAAGAATATCGAAAGATACGCGGTTAGGAGGTTAGGGTTGGGTTAGGCAGTTAGTGTTATGGTTAGGAGTTAGGGTCAGTTTAGGCGTTCGGGGTTGTGAGATATAGCTGTTCCTTTCTCCGTCAAGCAGGGGAGCGCTGAAGAGTGGTGCTCCAGCCGACGACTTCGCGGTCAGTTGGGCGATGTTTGGGCCGGAACGGCCCAACTTTGCGATCGACTGAGCGAGACCGCGACCTATGAGCACCATCGCAGGACTGGCGCGCTTGTAATTACTGAGACGGCTTTATAATTGATTGAACGGCTTCGCAATCAATGGAACGACCTCGCGTGAGACCGAACGACTACATTACTTACGAGATGATTGATGCGCCGCACCCCTGAGCCAGGCGAGGAAGGAGCGACGACCCAACGCAAACTTCCATTAGCAGCCCGGAGCCGGACAGGAAAAAGTCCGGCCGTTCGCCGATCCCGTCTTCCCATTCATGTCCCGAAAGATGGATACCTCCTGCCATTTCTGATCTTATCACCTCCCCGTACCTGCTTACGCTAGGTACCTTACCTTAGGTCGCTCCCTATTTCGTGGTCGCCAGCACCTAAGGGAGACAGACTCCAGCGTCCGACCTTACCTTCCCGTCTTCTCCTTCTCAATGTGGCCAATGGGATACCTACCTGGTCGGCAGATAAATCTGCCACCGCCCCAGCCCATACTAACCTACCTTATTCTGGTAAGGATGGGTTGTGGCCACTGGCCAGCTGGTGCACCACGTGACCAGCACATGCAGCTGTGGGGCCCGCCAGCCCAGCTCTCTCCACGCACGGGCCCCCCCCCCCCCCCCCCCCCCCCCCCCGTCTTCCCCGACGTCTTTCTGATTGTCGATCTTTCTCTCCTCACCCTCCCACCCTCCTTCCCTTCCTCACTTCACATCGCCGGCCCCTCTCCAAAAATCGCCGCTCTCTTCCACATCCCGACCGCCCCGCCGGCGATACCTCTGAAAAACAAGAGAAAAAGAAACGTTCAAGCGCCGACAATCACAGGTCGAGGCAAGCCGGGTCCCATCCAACTTGACAACCCTCTCGTACTGACTCTGTGCCCCAGTCGCGATGCCGAGAGAGGACGGCAACATGGCCGGCGACACGAACGATGCCTAGGACGCGTCTGTCTGCCCCGTCAACCTTGCGAAGCTCGACCCCGACCGACGCCGTGAGCCAGGTTACGGCGGTCGCACGGCCGGAATCGTTCGCATCCAGGACGAAAACGTATGGTGTGGACGGGGATATTCGGTTGAGGTCGAGCTTCACATCAAGTTCTTCTTAGTAGAAGGTATATTCAGCTACGCTAGTACTTCTCTGGGCTACACCCAAACTATACTAGTATCAGTCTGGGGCATACTAGATTAAACTAGACTTAATTCTAAACCTAGGCTCGGCCCCGTATCCTTGACTCACTTCAACCACGGTTCGGGTAGCCGAGTAACTTATAGCTGTATCTTCTCAGACCTCCCTGCCTTCGTGCCTAGCCCTGTAAAAATGTGCGCAGCATTCGGGGAGGATTAAGCGACCTCCAACCACCTGCGAGTCCACGATGCCCAGGACCCCATCAGCATACAGCTTGTAGGTGATATATGTATCGTGGAAGGCTCTTCTCAATCCTCCAACTCTACAACTGCGACGATCAACACTCTAGGCATCACCCCCCGACCAGCATGGGACTTCAACATAGCTTCTGGACCGCAATCGCGGCATGCGCTGCCCTCGTAAGTCGGCCAGACCGGGATGGATCAATCCATGTCATTGAGCTAACAGCCCACTAGATGACAATTTACACAGTATCATGTATTTTCTACAACTTGTTCCTCCATCCGCTTCGGCACTATCCAGGGCCAATTTCTATGAGAGCGACAAGATGGACCTACTGTTACAGACTCATCCGAGGCGCTCTTCCCATGGACGTCTTAGAGCTTCACAAAACGTACGGAGACGTGGTCCGAGTCGCCCCCGACGAACTAGCCTACTGTAACGTCAATGCCTGGAAAGACATCATGGGTCACCGTTCCGCAGGCTCGCCAAGTTTCGAGAAGGCGATGAAATTCTATCGCCCTACGGGCGAGCAGTCTATCAATATCGTCAACACCAACGGCGCAGAGCACGCGATGTTGAGGCGACAGCTCTCCCACGGTTTCAGTGAACGCAGTCTGCGGGACCAGCAGCCTCTGATCATGAAGTACGTGGATCTGCTGATTCAACGCCTGCATGAAAATTGCCTCGAAAACAAACCGGTTGGTCTGATGGCCTGGTATAAATTTTACCACGTTTGACATGAATGGAGATCTGGCGTTCGGTGAACCGTTTGGGTGCTTGGAAAACTCCGAGTACCATCCGTGGATCAAGGCCATCTTCCAATCTGCTCGCCTCGGTGTGCTTGCGCAGACCGCCGGCCACTTTCCTTTTTTAAAGGGGATTCTCTTCACGCTCCTAGCGACGAAGGCGGCGAAGTTAGCTAGAAGCGAGAACTTAGCTAGGGCCAGGGCTAAGTTGGAGAGGCGCATGGAGCTTGGCAAAAAGGAAGGTGGCAGACCTGATTTGATCGAGGGCTTGTTGAAGCAGAAGGAAAAATTGGTAAGTGGTCTACTCCATTCTGTGATATGCTTTGTATGTCTTTTGATTCTTGCGTACTGATAGATCCCACAGAACATTTCGTTCGAGACACTCGTGGCAAACAGCAATACGCTCATCATCGGGGGTTCTGAGACGACAGCGACGTTGCTGGGCGGAGTCACCTACTATCTCTTGATGAACAGGCACTGTCTGAAGAAGCTGGCGGACGAAGTGCGAACTGCGTTCAAGACCGAAGAGGAGATAGATTTGGTTTCTGTTAACAAGCTGACCTACATGCTGGCCTGCCTGAACGAGGCGCTTAGAGTCTACCCTCCAGTCTCCATGGGCCTTCCGAGAGTCACGCCTAAGGGTGGAGCAACGATTTGCGGCAAGTTTGTCTCCGAGGACGTGAGTACCGCTTCAACTCTCGCACTCTATCCCATCGACTGCTAGGCGGCGTCACTACAAGAGCATGTATGTATGTGCTCTTACTTGAGTAACAGCAAGTCATCTATTCAGTTGTTCCCGTTCCCCTTCTATCCGCCTATTACAAATATCGAAAACAAGGCAGGGTTGGAGCAACGTTGGAGATGCTTACAGTGACGCCATCTTACGTTCGGTGGGATAGAGATTGGATATGACGTATTGACGCGTTCCTAGACTATTGTGTCGATTCACCAGTGGGCCATTAATCATAACGAGAAGTACTTCAAAGACCCGTACGGATTCCACCCCGAGAGGTTTATGGGAGAGGATGAGTTCGCGTCCGATAACAGAGAAGCCTTCCAACCTTTCCATATTGGGTCACGAAATTGCTTGGGGCGCAAGTAGGTGTTGTCGCTTGACTGATGTTCCTGGAACTTCATCGCTAACCGCTACAGCCTGGCCTACGTTGAAATGAGACTCATTCTAGCTCGCCTCATTTGGAACTTTGACGTCCAGATCGACGAGGCTTGCATGGATTGGGCTGAGAAGCAGCAAATCTTCATTTTGTGGGATAAAGGCCCCTTGGAGGCGCACTTGACACCGGTAGTGAGATAGAGCGGGATAGGAATCCTCTATTCAAGGGCAAGGGGCATTCAGCACACATATAACGAAGCAGATAAGAGACCTGTCATTGGAATGGTTTCGTTCTAGTTGAAGATCCAAATTCCTTTTCTCTTCTTAGGCAACTCCCTGTATCGTCACTTACACCCATCGTCCTATAGGCTTTTATTCGAACAGACTCATTGTGAAGTCCGGCTGTAATCTCAACCTATATTCTTTTTATCTCAATATAGTGTGGTTATCACGGATCGGCTACTACCGTCTTTTCGCATTCAAATGGGAGCCACTAGTATCAACTATTCGAGACGGAGATTTTCCATACTAGGTAGTCAGTCCCGGTAGTTCTGGATTTTGCCAGTCGAAGTCGCACTACGCGGAAAGGCTTTACTAGCGCTTTCCGAGCTGTTGCACACGCTCCGGTAACATTTTGATGTGGTCTAATTGAGGCCTGAAGATCCCTAATCACAGCCACTGCCACGAGCATCCCAATTTTGTGTTTCTATAACTTGTGCCACTCTCCAAGTCTTCTCCGAGGGGGCGTAAGGCCTTAGCTCTGAAGAGCTTTTGATACTCAGTTTGCGGGAGCAGGCGAGTACAACAGCTGAGTGACGAGGGAGCTTCGGGAACGACATTACGTTCACCTTCAGATCCAAATCAGACCCATCAATTGAAGGGTGCTCTCACCACTGCCATCCACGGGAACACTCCTGTTACGGTCAGCTGTCCGACAGTAGGGTCTGCTAACAGAAGCTGGGGATTGACACGTTATAACAGTACACTGGGTCGTGGTCTGGTTTGTAGGTCGTAGGCTGCAGTAGATCGGTAGTCAGAGGCTAAGGTGATCAGTCTTAGGCTCAACAAGTAATTCGCAGGGAAGGTAAGCTGAGAGTATCCGTGAGGATGAATACAAAGTTGATTGCTGAAGAGCTATGGAAGTCTGACCATGAGCCAGGCTCAGGTCATACTATATACAAGTCTAATTCTGAACATGTTCCTTGGTACCTTAGGTCGACCCGGATCATTTTGATCCAGAATGGTCGTTTGGCCCCCAAGTCGTGTTGGATCATATTGATCCAATATGATCGTTATCTTATCTTCACGTGACTTGGACCATAGTTCTTCCGTTACCAATTGAGTCCCTGTTGTTCCCGTGATCCTGCAGTACAAATGTCCTGTCCTAGCCGCCCAACGCCTGAGTGGGTCGGTTACCTGTTATTCCTGCATAACGGGTCGTAACAACTCCAGGGCATCTTTGATTCCGTGCCTGAAGCTGCAGCGTCTCTGCTCGTAGCCGGGCAGAGTTCCGCGGTCCCGGTCCATACCTTCTCGGCAGCATACAGTCAGCTGGAGGTGTGGCCCCAGCAGCCCAGTCTGGGCACGCAAGCTATCTGGTCATGGTACCCGACCGGGCGGAGCAGAGCTTGAAGTTTACACGGGTGACAACCTCCGCCTGGATGGCACCAAGCACACTGCGCGCGTCCGTAGCCGGTGCTCTCCACCGTGTCGTCGAGGCTCCCCAGTATACACGAATGATTAGCTTAGCAGTGCATCGTAAGAGGAGTAGCGATCAAGTTTTTGGAATAAAGTATAAATTCATTCACTTAGACAGTTGGAGCCCAGATCCCTACCAAGGCTATGCCCACATTACAACAACTCTTGACCCCTAGGACTAAGAGATCTGGTAGCACTATACGTGATACTACCCATTACCAACGTTCGATACCGACTCCCATAATACTCCCTACTACGTATGTGTCACGTAATATAAGAGACCAAATTCGAATAGAGAACAGGAGTAGGGGTATACGCATATAAAAAGGGCTCGTACGTAGTATTCCCCTTTCCCCTCTCCCGTAGACCGATCAGACCACATTTGAGAGCTAAATTTTCAAATACTATTCAATATGCTAATACGTGATTAGATTACTACCCGACTCTTACCGTGTTGAGACATGGGAATTGATACCCGGGCATGAAGAATTGATACACGGGCATGGCTCTTACACGGGCATGACAGCTCCGCACTGCCATTGGCCTAAGAACTAGCACAGACCTCAAATACTTCGTCATAAAGACGGTGGAGGCTCCCTCACTAACATCTTCTTATCCTGCCGTATTTACGCAAAGTTGATTTCCATCAGATTGTTTCATGCCCATCTCTAGCTTCTATTCTCTGTATAGAAGCCCCTGCCTCTACGCAAAGCTCTTTGCTAGCAAGCTGTCAGCCAGTATCCCAACAGTACGGCATTCTGTGTCTGGCTTTTGCCCAGATGTCTCTTGCCGAGCCCGTTTATCTCTCACTAAGCCCACTGTAGAAACGTCTCTATATGATCGACTTCATTAACACAGTGTTGGCTTCGCTTTCCGTGTCCCTTTCTTATAATATGGATATTTGTTAGTGAACAGGTAGCGGATGAAAAACAGATGCTACTAAAGCCCTACTTGGGTGATCGTGTCCGTTGAGGGACGGCCTCGTCATTGCTACTAATTAACATCTCCCACTCGGTGTGTGGCTGTGATGAGGCTGCGGATTGGCTACTCTCTTGCGACCCTACCTCTTTTGTAAGCCTTGCGATAGTCGCTTTATCACGACTTCCCGGTGGACGGCCTCGCCGAATTACTTTCGAGGCTTCTGGTGGCGTTTTCCTGCGCTGCACCCCTAGACTATAATCCTCTGGTACGGCTAATCGAGCAGAGACAGGCTATGCTATGTTCTTCTGCTTACCACGGAGGGAGGTAACAATCTTGGGGTCTAGAATACGACGGTATGGATCTATAGAGGATGTTTCCCTTAGTCTCCAATGAGGATGGACGTCCCAGCTATAAGCCTTGCGTAGATTGTGTGGTAGCAAGGAACACCAAGCTCCACCGAGGTAGAACAGTCGTCTGTACAATCTGCAATAGGAGGGGGCCGTAGATGATCGCCGATCGGCAATGCTATCCTTGCTATCCGGTATTTGTTTACAATCAACCCTAAGCACTTCGAACAAAGCATACCTCGAAGTTCACCTAGGTATTCCGAACTGGCTTCAGCGTATTGACGGGCAGTTAGCACCTCATCCTCTGCACAGGACTGCGTAAACCGTAACTCTTAGTCTCGAATCATATTCTGCATAACATCGACGAGTCGGCTTAAGTGACTCAGGCTATTGAGGAGATAGCCTTTGATGTGATTGTTGCTAGACTCGGTCCCTGAGGTGACGCGAATACCAAAATTCTGATATTTTCGGATGTAGTAGCGAGCCCACTGAGCTCTAACGCGAAGGGATGTCCCGTAGAGATAACGTAATATTGGCCGCTGGTCATCTAACTCCTTATAGAGACTAGCCCATGCTTTCTAATAAGTAACCTCGGTCTCCGCAAAGATAGCGAGCTTCTACATTGCAAATAGTCCGTGATATGTATGGGGGATTGAATCGCTGGCGGGCGTGTGGATATACGCCTGGTCCTCGTCGCTTAATTCCGTTCTTAGTGTTCTCGAGGGCTCATTGTCGTCTTCATGGTCCGAGCTATTGCCGGTAACACCCTCTAGCCGTACTCCCTTTACCCACTTCTGCTTAGCCTTAAGCATAACATTGGAGTTGATATGATGGATGCAGAGCTGTTGCTGTACGTCGGCGAACTCGTAAGCTAAGGCGGCTTTCATCTGCTTATCATAGTCGGTGATAATGACATTTGGCAAGCAAACCGAATGTTGGTTAAGTAGTTGACGGATGCTCTTCGCGAGGAACTGGAACCCTTCCAATCTCTCGTTATTGGTAAGGCCGAAATCTGCGTTGAAGATAGATCCAGTGCATATCTGGCCAGTGGCTTAGAACAGCGGAAGCTCAAAGAGATTCGTGTTATATGTGTTATTAGAGCTGATCACCTCCGGGAAGCGCCTCCACATTGAGAGACAAAATGGGAATGTCGGATTGGAGGTCCAATTCGACCTCTCGGCAGCGCAGGGGCCACCCATTAATCGTATAGTCGATTATCGCGACCTACCCAACCTACGGTTAGAACCTCCTTCTTACACCTACGCAGTAGATTATATAATTCAATTGACCTACTTCGTCAACCCACGGTTCGAACCAATCGACCAATATCCCTGTGATAGGGATACCAACAGGCATCGTGTCAAGTAGCCTCTCACATTTTCCCGCGCGCTAATGACATCGAAATAATATCTGAGATGCCTGTCTAAAGCCACAAGTCAGCAACCGTGCCTAGTGCTGCCGAAAGATGTAAAGCTCTTCCGGACAATGAGGTTAGTCAGGTATAACGAGGCGCCCAAGCAGCAAAGAAGCAGTTCCGACATATATACAGCGCAAGGAATACACGTCTGGAGAGGGTCAGATTTCAGCAATTCGGCCATTTGACCCTGACAGAGGTCGACCCCTGTGACCTTCCTCAATGTGTCGTACGCTTACTAACGGAAGGGGCCCCTTTGCATTCGGAACCGGCCGCCGCTCCTATTAGTCACAACACGTACATTCCGCCATATTCGCTAAGCTCATCTCCAACGGTTTTCCATCGTCCTAGGTGTGCAATTTACCGACAGCTTTTTCGCCGTGGGCATTTTTCGCGTGCTGTGGATCTATGGCATTGAAGTTCGCCCCGGCACCCTAACACTGCTGGATTCGGATGATTGCACGGTCCGGGAGCTCTCTGGACTATAGTCTAGGGTCAAATTGAATTGCCATGTTTTGGCTGAGGCGTCATCGAAGAATGAGTGGGCCTAGTAGAGAGAATCTATAGGCAGTGAGCAAATCCCCTCGTATGAATTTTGTACGTTTCACCAGCAGCTAGTTGACGGCAAAGCAACATGTATCCGTATCCTTGAAGTCGGCGCTACCGTAGCACGTCTTTCGTGAACAGAAATAAACGGAAATGCACGATGACTGGCTTATGCATCGAGCGTCATCTTGCCAAGGTTTGAAAATGAACGAGATAGTGCTCCTGCGCCTCTCCGTGCCCGAACTCGCCTGGGATTGACTTTCACATGTCCTCATAACAACAACTGTAATGTGCCCTGATTGTGCCTTTGCAGTTCGGCAAGCGGACTTATGTCTCATTGTATCGCAAATCTGACTTGAATAATCAAACCGAGAATTTCTGTAGTAAAGAATAGTGCGGGGTCCTACTGAACCGGGAACAGGATATGCTCGTACAAATTAAGCATCATTTTAGCACATCGGTGATATTCTATATATAAGGTAAAAAGAGCAGCCAAGAAACATAACTTCCATCTCCGTAAAATGATGTCCTGTACAAACCCGATATGAGGCACTATCAAAACCCAGCAGCCCTCATAAAATCCTCTATATCGTGGAGGAATTCAATAGGTCGCTCAAAAGCTGCGAAGTGACCACCCTATAATGCTGTTAGGGGTCTCATGCACAAAAGTTTCGAGGCAATCTCTCACATTTTCATGCTGACGGTAGAACACCAGATTGCCATGCTTTCGGGCCAGCTTTTGTGGTACGGGTACAAGCTCTTTCATAAACCAGGAGTATCCAAATGGCTGCCTGAAAGCAGGGAATGAGTACTGGTGGCTATCGATAAAGGTCCCGCGGTACGTATATATGCACCGTGGCATGGTGTCCGTGAGCCAATAAAGCGTCACATTAGTCAAAAGCTCGTCAATGCCAATCGGATCATCGGGCCATTCTAAAAACTTTTCACCCATCCTATGTAAGAAGTTAAACACTGTCTGCGCAGTTGGAGCTTGGAGCATTGTGGATTCACCATGCCAAAAGGGCAAGGGGGCTGGAAGAAACCATAGCCCCGATTGTAGCCGGCCTCGTACTTTGGAGCAAGGCGGCTCCTGTGGTTGGCGTTAAGAACCGACGTCCCACGTACTCGATAGCCTCCTTGTCTTTGGATGATAGGGAAGGGTCATCGACGCTCGGCATTTCGAGACTCGGCAGCAGATTGACTTATCGTTATCAGCACGGGGACTACAAACTGATTTTGACGACTAGAGTCTTACGGTGAATGGCTGCGACTGAGTCGTAGTTTGTTGCAAGTATTGAAGCTATCAGTGATCCGACATCTCCTCCCTGCACGGCATACCGACTGAACCCGAGCGCGATCATCGCCTTGTTGATCACGCGTGCGGCATCTTGACTGGTATAGGCCTGCGCCTGGCCCGGTCCGGAGCTGAACAAGTATCCTGGGAGAGACGGAACGATGAAATGGTAAGGCAGCTCAGACGGGCTATACTTCTGCTGAACAATCTCCAGGACGGGCATGAATTCAAGGAAGCTGCCTGGCCACCCGTGAATCAGCACAATGGGGTAAGCATCCTCTCTTTCCGAAAATAGGCCAACAAAATGGAGGTCGATATTCTCCTTGTCGGTCTCGTCGGGGACCAGAATCTTGAAGTTGGGGAGTGCGTTAATGCGGTCTTCTTGGGCACGACAGTTGAAGTCGGTTAACCAGTAGCGCCTAGTCGAGGTAAGCCATTGGTGTGGGATGCCATAGCGTCCATCCTTGTGTTGGTTTTCCCAAGTCTCAGGTCCCGAACGGGTAACCTGCAAGACGGCCCGGAACTGAGAATAGTCGTCGTCTGGGATGGAAAGGGTGAAAGGGCGAGCGATACTAGGGACTGAGTATGGCATGGTGTACTCGGGCAAAGTGTTAAAGAATATGTAGCGGGTTCAGGATCAGTGCTGGCAAGTTGACAGGGAGGTTCCATTGCATTCTCGTTGCTACAAGCGATCGAACTGCTGAAGCTGCTACTTTTGTCTGCGTCTCCGCCCCTTTAAAGTAATGGGCTATTAAAAAGAAAAAGAAACGCCCCCCCCAACCCCCCCCCCAACCCCCCCCCCCCCCCACACGAATACATGTCAAATAGTCACACTATTATAGCATCTACTCAACTGAAGCTGCTACTTATCATTCCAGAAGGAAGGTAATCATGAAATCGAACATCCAGTCAACATTATTACAAATAATTCAGATCGAACTGAAATGCCCAAGCGTCGGATTCCACAAACGCCACAGTGGGGCTTTTCGGAGTCATACGGCACCAAGAAACCCATTCAGAAAGCCAGTTGTGCTTGACGAGCAGGGTTGTATAAGGATGCCTGAAAGTCAGGCTAAAAGCGGGGAGGTAGCTCGGTAACTTCCAATCAAAGTCATCTGTGGATCACCCCGATCTAGCTACGCGTCGGCGTGACTACATACGCAAAGTGATAGCGATGAATCAAGAATAATGCTAAAGGCTTCAGCATGACTCAAACCCTGGCTTTATGTCATGTTTCGTTATCAAGACCCACTACCCCGCAGCACTGTCGGCTTTTCACACCAATAGTGCTGGTGATTCGAATGGTGCTATGGGCTATTTGGCCTGTAAGATACCGTCGGGTTGGTTGTCCAGTTACTCGAGTCAGGGCATGCGCAGGGGCCACCTACGGCCACTTGATAGATTCTCAAATACCTACCTACCCAACCTCAGGATACATGCTACCTTTTACTCCGTACAGAATCAGGGGAATACAGTCATCTGATCTTTCGTCGTACCACGAATCGTTCCGGTCGGAACCAAGCACCCTGTGATAGGAACTCAAACAGATGCCAACAGCTGGTCACACTGACAAGCAAATCGGATGCTATAAATGCGTTTTCCGAGAGTTAATGGCACTCTCAATTATCTTGTTCTCTGATCCATCTAGTGCACCAAGCCTTGAGCCCCGTCAGGATGGAATCAATATTTCAGAGAGAGACTTTAGTCTCGGCAGCATTCCGAACAACAACAAATCCAGTTTTCACGCAAACCATCATCGGAAAGAAGTCGGCATTGTCCGAAGATGTCGAGGAATTCCGTGGCATCCCTTACGGCTACGTGAGCAGAAGATGGGAGCATTCCCGGCTGAGGGATCGATTGCCTAACGAGGTGTTCGACGCCACAAAAAATGGGTAAGCGGGTCTGCCCTTTTGCTCTTGGTCTTGTCTGTGCCGATATTGGTATAATGACCGCTAACCGAATCAAAGTCCCAAGTGTCCTGCGGCAGGGATACCCAATTCTCGATCGTTTCAGTCGTACCTGCCTTACCCGAGCGATGATGAGGACGAATTTGCGTGTTTGAACCTTTTGGTGGTCCGACCAAGCCCGGAGGCTGTGGCTAAGATCTCCGGCACTTCTCGACTGGTGAAGATACCTGTCATGGTGTGGATTCACGGCGGTGGTTTTGCAGATGGGTCATATAGCGACCCTGTTTGTGGTATATTGTAATCTGACGCTACCTTGTACTTAGTATCTTTGTCTAACCCGTCATCATTTAGATCCCTCACAGCTTGTACGCCGAGCTCTTGCTAAGGGCACGCCTTTCATCGCAATTGCCATGAATTACCGTCTTAACATCTTCGGCTTCGGCGCCTCATCCACGATGCTTGGGACGCAAGATTCTGATGGCTCTGTCAAGGGTGTCAACTTCGGCCTTTACGACCAGAAAGTCGCCCTTATCTGGATCAAACATCATGTTGGCGAGTTCGGCGGTGACCCTACCAGAATTACCATTATGGGCCAATCTGCTGGAGCAACATCTTGCCACGTTCACTTGCTCGAGGCTGAAGGGAGCTCTCGAAAGCCGTTATTTCAGAAGGCTGCCTTAATGTCAGGGGCTTTTGGTGGACTTGATGTGTCGCTCATCGAGAAGGCGGATGAGCGCTGGGAGAAACTCTGTCAATGGCTCTCGTTGCACGAACTAAGCCCAACGGATCGTCTGGAATCACTTAGGACCGTTCCCGTCCATGAATTGCTATACGCCGTATCTAAGCTTTGTTGGAGGTTTTTCACCCTCATCATCGACGGCTTAACCATCAGACAGACTGATTCAAACGGCAACGTCTCCATACATCTTGGGCACGATGACTGGGACACACATCTCAAGGACATCGGGGACGACGTCCAAGTTCTGTTGGGTGCTACGGCTCAAGAGTTTTACGGCTTCGTCCGTATGGCCAACTGGACCTTGGAGGATTTCAACACACTATTCAGACCGTCTTTTCCATCGCAGGGAGTGGCTGAGAGAATCGCAAAAGCATATGGCATTGTACGCACCTCCCCTAACGAGTCGATTCAAGAAGGACTAGTTCAATTCATCTCTGACGCAACCATGACGTACACCAAGACGTACCGCGCCGGGGAACTGCTGAAGGCCCGTCGTGGCGTGCGACAGAGGGCGTCCGGGACGAATGCTAGATGTGCCAGGATCCAGCAGTATCATGTGGAATTAGGTAATCCTTTTCTCGGCCCGATGCACAGGATTGCACATCACGGGGTGGACTTGATCTACTCATTTGGTAACTTCGAAGCCGCCTTGGAGAATTGCGACCGCGGTACCCCGGGAGGCTACGTCGAGCCCGGCTCAGATGGGCCGGGACATACTCCTAACCAACCGACTACTGCTCTAATACATCCCCCGACGAAAATGGGCCGCCAGCAAGGTCACAAATCACACGTGGAATTGAGTCGCGATATGCAAGACGACCTCGTTGATTTCATTGTGGGAGGGCCGTGTAATTCCGATGGTTGCGGACATGACGATCAAACGAAATTTTACTGTTCTGATCGATCAGTACGCGTGGGAAATTGGATCGACAGCGAGGTGTGGAATACGAGAAAGGAGAGATACGATGCTTTGGGGAGTGATGTTATTTCCATGGTTACCGCCTCCAAGAAACTCGTTGGGAGTGTCTTGAATATGCCATTGGAATAGCTGTTGCATATGATATTGTTAAGAGCCCCGCCACCGTGAGACCACGTAGGGGTCATTTCAGTATATAGAATCTAAGCTAAGGAATAGAGGTTTTGGAGCGGGGGTTCCGCAGAGGAAGAGCGCTCAAGTAGAACCTCCGTCCAGGCAGCGCGGTGAACCGTGGCAGTATCCGGGCTGAGGCCCGGATCCACTAATCGGGTCTAGCCCGTCACAGATGTACTATCAACCGTAACGCAGTTCAACGGCCGCCATAATTGAGAGCTTCTTAAAATTCCGAAAGCTACTAAGGTCCTGAAGCACGGAAGGATTCGAGGAATTCGGTAGTCTGTCAATCTCGTCCCATAGGCAGCCTCTCTCACTATCCCATCAACTGTGGAATGGTGTCAGTACATAGGTACGTACTCTGTTTGAGGGGTAACAATGTATTATATATTCTTCCTTATTACTTCGTAGTACTGTATTACCGTTTTAATTCCTCTTAATGCACTCAATTAAAAATCTGGAGAAGGATTAGCGTTGGAGAAAACCGGAGGCGTATGTCCCAACGCCGTTCTACAATTGGTGGTATAAAGAGCGTCACTGAATTCGCGGTTGATGTAGTGTACAGCCGTCATAGCCAAATCGCACACGCACGCTTACTAGGACTTCGGGCTTGAGCGGGGCCGGGCGGCGTCTTCTGGCCCATCGGTCTTGCGATCACTCGGGCACGTATTGCCGCGCTGTGCATCCTGCGCCCACCGTATCGTAGTTGCCTCCGGACAGCACCAGCTATCTCCGAAAAGCGTTAAAGAAGCCAGGCAGCAAGGCACCATCCCCGCCCGTGGTTGTAGTGAGGAAGGTCAGCTTTTGACACACTCAGGCGCGCAGGCTGCCGTTAAAAATCCTTACCGCGCAATGAAGGTTGTCAGTTCAATTGCGAAAATACGATGGGAGAGCGAGCTCCTCTGATCCTTTTCTCAGCGGCCGACTAACATAGAATTAGTCCTCCAAGAACTCTGCTTCTGTCCACGTGGCCATCGTTCACAATGCCAGCCTCCACTAAAATCCTCCACCAGCGAAGAAAGCATGCCATTACAACCTTTTGGACCCATGAGATTGGATTTGACGGGCAATTATGCTGTACATTTGTTACGGTCAGCTATCCGACAGTAGGGTCTGCTAACAGAAGCTGGGGATTGACACGTTATAACAGTACACTGGGTCGTAGGTCGTAGGCTGTAGTAGATCAGGTCTTCAGAGGCTAAGGTGATCAGTCTTAGACTCAACAAGTAATTCGCAGTGAAGGTGAGCTGAGAGTATCCGTGAGGATGAGTACAAAGTTGATTGCTGAAGAGCTATGGAAGTCTGACCATGAGCCAGGCTCAGGGTCATACTATATACAAGTTCTACACAGTATCTTCTGTGGTGGCTATGTAGGATATCCGTGCTATCCAACATATCCCATGGATAGCTGGGATAGTGGACATATCCAACATATCCATTCTTGTCCTGTATCCGTGTTACTCCCGAGGTCACGTGACCTGTACCATAGTTCTTCCCTTTCCGATGGTTCCTGGTTACACCTGTGTTACTGCTTACATATGTCTCGCGTTAGCCGCCGAGATCCCAGGCGGGGTTGTTCCAACGTGTTATGCCTAACGGGTCGTAACAACATTGGTCACGGGTGACTACCTTCAAAGGCCTACTGACTGTTCGAACGGCATGGCATTGTCAGGAATCCCACTCGTCCATCACTAAGATACCTACTACGTATAAAAAATTCCTCGTAGCATCGGCGGCCCGGCGGTAAAGGCGTCTCAAGAGGTGTCTCACCGGCATTCGCGGAACATATTCAATCGAGATTTTAAAGTAGGAACGAGGACTCCCAGCAAAACTTATCGCGTTCGACCAATCCATAGTCCGAATCTTATTGCTAAGCTCTTGATCGACTATGGATGACGAAGCATGGCCGGGTGCCTAGCGCTGGCTTAGCGTAACGTCCCGCACCCACTTTCCGGACACCCCCTCATTCCGGACACCCAAAAATTATGCCCCCATATATCAACGCAGTAACTTAAACCTAGGACTTCTGCTATTCTGATGCAACTACAATACAACTTTCGCTATCACTAGGGTTTTCAGACTCGCTGGATTCATTTATACTATTTACAAGTTCTCCCGCCTCGATTTGAGCCCTCCGAATAGCCTCAATATCAGCAAACTTCGAATTTGGGCTCATTTTGACCTTCTTGCGTTTCCTGGCCCTACTGGCATCAACCTCTGCTTGTAGTGCCTCAATATTTCGCTGGGCTACTGCCAGTTGGTATGCCTTCTCATCAAAGCCCTTCTGAACCTTCCGAAAAAGCAGGCGTTGCATATGCTCATCGTTATCCAGCTTGCTGAACAGGCTGAACTGATCCTGAAGCTCATCCCTCTTCTTGGGGGTTGACCAAGGGACTGCTGATGTATCTGCCGCCCATTTTTCGCTTGCTTTGCCATCAGAGAGCCCTTTGCAGACCTGACCAGCTGGTTTGGCAGGGGTTGAAGTGTTCTCAAGCAGCAGAGGGCTCATGAGGGGTCTAGCCATACTGATAGGCCACAAACCAGTCCATTTCCAGCCACTGATGATATTCTTGCTTGTCAGGGCTGCCTTACGCGCCTTGCCATAGCATACAACGAAATTTCTCTTGCCCACAACTGTACCAGCATCCCATTCAGTAAGTAATCCAAGCTCCTTCTTGTATGCTGCCTTGAGGGGCCCAAAAACCGACTGATCAAGTGGCTGAAGGACGTGTGACGTGTGTGCTGGCAAGAACAGCAAGTGTATCTTGTTTCTGAAGCATGTATACATGAAAGCAGTAGTCTCATGGCTTCTATGACCATCCAAGATCAACAATCTGACCTCTGAGGGGTCTGCTGGCTGGGTAGAAGGTATAAAGACCTCTGTCAACCACTTAACAGCTGTAGAGTCTGAAGTCCACCCGTTTTCTGTTGCTGTGAACTTCCAGGATTCGTATGGCGTCAGATCTAGAGGAAACCACTGCTGCTGGACACTCTTGCCCTTATATATAACAAGTGGGGGCAGTGCCTTGCCAGTTGCAGAGATACACTCAATCAGAGATGTCCAAGCACGCGATCCAGGCTGTTTCTTGCGGATAGAACGAGTTTCTGATGATCCAAGAACAAGCCTATTTGATCCTCTGCCTTCCAGAATACCAGACTCATCCATATTGTATCGATTGGAGGCTTTAATGGCTATGATCTCAGGGATGGCGAGGTGCTTGAACCATTGCCTGATGACATTAGTTGAGGCTCCGTTGATGCGCTGGGAATCAATTGCTCTGCTTCTCTGGACCCTTACAGATGGGTTTCTCTTGATAAAAGCCTGAACCCAGTTCTTCCCTAGAGGCTTGGCGTCTCCATGGATCTGTAGGATACGCTCAGCGAATTCCTTGAGTTGTTGATGGGTTGGTGGTAGGCCTAGGGCAGCCTGGATTCGAATCCATTCAGCCAAATGGCTTTCTTGGGTTGGAGAGAGCCTCTGTAGATCTGAGAAGGCAATATCTCTTGATTGGGTGCCTTGGATACGATCATAAAGAGTAGACTTTGGGACCCCATACTGCAATGCAGCTTTTCGCACGCTAAGCCCATTAGAGATCGCATTAAGAGCCCGATTAATCTCATACTCTGTATATTGACTTATATGGTCTAGAAGAAGATGTTAGATAAAGATGGAAATAAGTGAGATTAAGGTGGTGAAGCTATTCAGGATCAAAGTTGTAAAGA